CAGGAAGGCCAGATCCCGAGTTCTCCCCGCTCTGCTTTCCTCTGTGCTGTTTCATTCCCTGTCAGGCCACCCCAGCTGGGGACAGAGGTGCCTGCGGCACCTCCGGGCTGCCCGTCCAGCAGCCTACCCAGGCCAGCTGAAAGAGACAGCCCTTTCTCAACCAGCTTGAGCTGCACTGGCTGGCCTGGGGCATGGGCCCAGCCCTGGACGGTCATTGTCACCGGGGAGGCGGTGGGGGGGAGCTTCTGACCATTGGGGCTGGGTCCTGTGACTGCGGTGGGGTGAGGCTCGGGCAAGCCATGCAGGTGGGAAGCTCAGGGGAGGGTGCCGTCCCCAGCAGGGGTGGGAGCGGGCTGGTTCGGGGCGGGGCGGGGGGGCAGGGGAGCAGCACTCAGAGTGTGGGCGGGGCCGGTGGGCTGGGCTGCTGGGGGTGGCAGTAGTTACCATTCCTGCGGAGGGAGGGCTGTGGGCAGTGGGCACCAGGCGAGAGCTCCCTGGGTCATGAGGGTGGCGGAGGCTCACCCTCGGCCCCAGATGGTAAATCAGCTTGTAGGAAATGATGCTGGCTGGGCATTATTTTCTCATTCTATCCTGTGTCTGTTGCTGCCTCTCGACACACAGGGTGGGGGAAGGGGCCGACCTGAGGGCTGAGGGAGCTGGTAGGGGGCCATAGCCTCAGAGTTCAGGCTTCCAGGGCCATCCCCGCGAGCTGGGGCTGCGGAGTGACCCCAGCTGAGCCCCGGGCGGGGGCGGCGTGGTGGCCGCGCTCATGATGCCGCTGTGTGCAGGTGCCCTTCTTCCTGTTCGTGGTCTTCGTGGTGTACACGCTGCTGCCCTTCAGCACGCGGGGTGCCGTCGTGGCCGGGGTCGTCTCCAGCACCTCCCACCTCCTGGTGCTCGGCGCTCTGATGGGGGCCTTCACCACGCCCAGCGTCCGGGTAGGGCTGCAGGTGAGGGGCGTGTGGGTCTGGGTGTGCGGGGCCGGCTAAGGCCTTGGGTGGGGCTTCGGTTTGGTCCAAGGGCAGCCAAGGCTGGAGCGGGTGAGTTGGAGGCCTCGGAGACAGAGGTGTTTGCCGACAGGTGGCCTCGAGGCCCGGCTTCGTCCAAGTCGGCAGGTGCCCTGTCCTGCAGCCTTTTCTTTGCTGGCCTGGGGTACCCTGGAGGCTCAGCCCCTCCCTTGAGCCCTGACCCTCGGGCCTCCTTCCTGGGTCCAGCGCACTACTGCTGGTTGAGGCCCTGTTCCCGAGGTTTCGCTTGTTTAGCCCAGAGCCCCATCTGCACAGGGTCGGACGCCGCGTCTGGTATCCTTTGCGTTGAGTGATTATGCACAGTTAGTGGTGACGCGCAGATGTGTTTTCCTCCTGAGCAGGCCTGGTGTCTGGTCTGGGAGGTGGGGGCCAGAGCTCTGGGCAGCCAGCCTGGCCCTGTGCCTTCCGTGGCTGTCCTTGGCTCTCCCTCTGGGTTCTGGGCTCTGTGAGGGGATGTGCTCCTGCCATCCTGGAAGCGGCTGGCTGCTCTGGTCTCTGGGGCCTGAGCCCTTCTGCACCAGGGAATGTCTGGCGGATGCTGAGACAGGCTTGAGTCCTGGTCCTGGGGTCACAGTGACCTACTAGAAGACCAGTGAGGCTAGGAGACCAGTGAGTCTGAACCTGTTTCCCTGCCTGCCCACCCCAGGGAGGCTGCAGCCCAAGTGGGTTGGGAGGCCAGGGATCGGGGAGGGGGTGCCGTCACCAGCCCACCAAGGGGGTCGGTGTCCTGAGGCACGGGCCAGGCCTGATGCTGAGCCTGCCACGGCCCGCCCACAGCTGCTGGCCAATGCTGTGGTCTTCCTGTGCGGGAACCTCACGGGCGCCTTCCACAAGCACCAGATGCAGGATGCCTCCCGAGACCTCTTCACCTACACTGTGAAGTGCATCCAGATCCGTCGTAAACTGCGCATCGAGAAGCGCCAGCAGGTGGGGACCCGCCCGACCCTGCCCGGCCCCCTGGCTGTCCCCCAGGCCCCACGCCCTGCATCCTTTCTCTGAGGATGTTCTCACTGAACAGCACAGTGAAGCACCTGGGGCACCTGGCCAGACACCTGTGCTGGTGTCATCCTGGGGGCTGCTGGGGACACGGGAGGGTGTGTGCCTGCCAGGTTAGTAGCAGGGTGTAGGCCAGCAGCAATGGGGCACGTGGTGGGCAGAGGGGCGGGAGGGCAGAGAGGACGGAGACCCGGGGCCTGACTCCGCCCTGCCTGTGCCCCACGTGCCAGGAGAACCTGCTGCTGTCCGTGCTGCCTGCCCACATCTCCATGGGCATGAAGCTGGCCATCATCGAGCGGCTCAAGGAGCGCGGGGACCGCCGCTACCTGCCTGACAACAACTTCCATAGCCTCTACGTCAAGCGGCACCAGAACGTCAGGTGGGTGGCTGGCCGGGCCCGCGCGCACAGTGTCTCCCAGGGCGGCCCCGGCAGGTGGTCCCAGCCCGCACGGGGACTGGGGAGAGGTAAATCCAGGCCCCTCCCTGGGCCTCAGTCTCCCACTTGTTCCCCCAGGGCGTGGGGGCAGATTAGATTAGTATTGGGGGAGATCCACTGCCCCCTAAAATTGTCAAACTCTGTGCACGAACGTGACTGTTGGGAAGAAAGGGGTCTTTTCAGATGATTCTCAGTGGGGCACAGGCCCCCCAAAAGGAGATGAAGCCCCACCCAGGTGACCACCAGGGACCCCCCCAGTCCTGACACCTGTCTTTGACTGATTTGAAGGGGCTGCAGAATCTTACTCAGCGGCGCTGACCTGAGTGAAGCGTAGGTGTGGGCGCTGTGAGCTCCACCCTGGTCCTCTGTCTGCAGGCTCAGCATTAGCCCCGAGACTGGCCTGCTGCCTCTGGGTTGTGGATGGTGCAGAACTGTAGACTCTGGAGTGGGGAGATCTGGTGCAAAATGCAGCTCTGGCTTCCCAGCAAGTCTTAACCTCCCTGGGACTCAGTTTGCTCGTCTGTAGAATGGGGTTCCTACAAGGGCAGCCTGAGGACTAGATGTGTGAAATCGCTGGGTGTGGAGCTCAGCGGAGGGAGCGTGCAGTCACATCTTACCAGGGCTTTAGCTCTGAAGTCTGTGCAGAGGTGAAATCCAGGTATAGGGAAGGGGAGAAGTTCCCAGGTGCCCGAGAATCCACCTGTAAGGGCTCCATTCAGTCATCTGTGGTGAGGATCTAAAGGGGTTGGGGGTTCCGGAGGGCCCCTGCAAACTGGGGCTTGCTTCATTTTGCTTTGATGTGAAGCCTCTGGAACTTTAATTCATCCTTATGGCGGGGGATTTCTCTCCCAATCCCTGGTGGCAGAGGACTCGCAGGGGTGATTGGGTGCGGGGCTGGCAGATGCTCAGGGGCTCTTGGCCCTGACCCTCCTGCTGCCCCCCCCACCCCCAGCATCCTCTATGCTGACATCGTGGGCTTCACGCAGCTGGCCAGCGACTGCTCCCCAAAAGAGTTGGTGGTGGTGCTGAACGAGCTCTTCGGAAAGTTCGACCAGATCGCCAAGGTGAGCCCACTGACCTGTGCTGCCTCCCCTCCGCTGATGGTAAAGTCAGGAGCCCTTCCCACCGCATCCACAGCGTGTCCTGTGTCTAGCGCTGTGCTGAGATGGGTGTGGGGAGGCCTGGGCTGAACTTTAGCATTCAGTCAGCAAAGCTTTCAAGTGCCCCATGGTCAAAGTGGAGGTTGAGCCAGGATCCTGTCCCCCAGAGTGTGAGGCCTCTGGGGAGACTGTCAGTGCACACTGGGGAATGCACTGGGCTTCACGAGCTTAGAGGGGGACTCCAGAAGGCTGCCTGGAGGAGGAGACGGCTCCATCCTCACTACGCAAGGTCAGCAGCCTCAGCCTCAGCCTCACCTGGGAGCATGGGAGGACTGTGGAATGCCAGGCCTCACCCAGAATCTGCCTCTTGACAAGATCCCAGGGTGAATAGTCTGCACATTAAAGTTTGAGAAACCTAAAAAGAAACTGAAGAGGAAAGGGAACAGTGTTATGGGCAGAGGGAACAGCATATGCAGAAACCTAGAGAAGAAAGAAAGCTCTGTGTGTCCATGCAATGAAAGTGGCTCAGTGTGAGTGGGACAGAGTGTGTTGGCGGGGAACATGGTCACAGGGTCAGACATCCAAGGACTTGAGGGCTGAGTTGAGGAGCGGGATTTGACCTCAGGACCCTGGGGAGCATAGCAGGTGCCAAGCAGGGAGGGCATTGGGCAAGGAGATCCTCCAGGGTTCAGCCAAGGCAGGAGGGGTCTGGAGACCAAAGAGGGCTGAGCTGAGATCTCACTGTTTTTTCTTCACAAGCAACACCCAGCTACAGGGGTGTGTGTAGGGGGCTGGGGAGGAGCCTCAGTTATTCATTTATTTACCACCTGGTCCGGGGACCTGCTGAGTAGCAGCCCTGGGCTGCCCTCAGGTTGCTCCTGGGCTACGTGCTATGTGGTTGGAAGAGGGGTACAGGAGGCAGGACTGGGGGGTGCTTATTTAGCCCAGCCTCAGGTGGTCAGGAAGGCTTCCTGGAAGTGGTAGCCACTGAATAGAGACGCAAATGTAAGATTTAGGGCAGTGGCTCTCCGTCCTCGCTGCGTGTTTGAATCACATGAAAAGCTTAAGTAAAACCCCGGTACCCATGCCCGTACCCGTGAGAGTTTTTCAGAGCCTCCCAGGTGACTCCATGTGCAGAGAATCAGTGGTTTAGAACTTGATGGGAACAAGTTCTGGTCTCGCACTCAATCTTGGGAGGGACTGCCTCACCAGGAGCAGGCTCCACCTCAGGAGATGAGCTTCCCGTCACAGGAGGTAACCAAACTACAGTTGGACACCACTGGCCAGGGGTGCTCTGGAGAGCTGTCCCCCCTGGGTACTGTGGACTGCGTGACTCTGAGGGTCTGTTTAGCTGGAAGCCTTCCTTTAGGAGCTTCCTTCCTTCATGATTTCTCTGGTGGAGGTTCCTAGAGGTTGGGCCTTATGTGGGCCCAGGCTCCATCCTCACTACGCAAAGCCACAGCTGGCTCTTCCCCTGCCACAAGGCCAAGGACCTGCCCTTGCCCTTTTGGACACAGCCCGCTCTCCGTGGCAGGCCCAGGAGGCAGCCTCATTTTAGAGATGAGAAGAGGGAGGCTATGGCAGGTGCCAGTCTTCAGGCCAGAGTGTCCAGTCCCTGGGCAGACACAGCAGGCAGAGCTGGTCCCAGCCTCTTCTCCTATCAGCAATCAGATTCCAGAACTGTAACCTCCTGGCGAGAGCCAGGGCCTCCTCTCAGAGGTGTCCGCATTGCGCCTGGGCTCAGGCATCTTATGTCCCAACACACTCACACAACGCCTCCAGTCTGTAAGTCTCAGAGGCACGGGGAAGAGCAGCCTGGGGAATGTGGCCTCTTGTAAATCCCTGACAGCGGGGCTGGATCCAGACTGTTATCCTGCACCTGGCTCTGGAGGAGATAAGATAAGGGCAGCGGTGCCCTGAGCCTGTGCCTGGGTGTCCCAGCCCTCGCCAAGCTTCTGCTGCTTTCTAGGAAAGCACTGTCCTCACCCACCTCCGTTAGGCCATTCAGAACTCAGCATGTGCCAGACGGAGCACACCGGGAAGCAGCTGGCACACACTCAGATGGGTCATTGGAGGAGGGCTTAGGAAGGGGACTGCTCACAAAGGCCTGGCATCCCTCGAAGGAGGGATGGTGCCTGGCCTGGTCATTGGCGCTGGGTGGTCACCCACAGGCCTGGTGGGCATGTCCGGGAGTGGGCACTGGATCTGGAGATGGAGGGTACCCTGGTTCTAGGGGCCAGCCCTCTGGGAAAAGGCAGGAGGGAGCTGGGGCAAGCCTTCACTGGAGCCCAGTAGGCAGCTTCTCCTTTCTGTTCCCTAAAACCCCACCCTCAAGGCCTTGATATGTATGGCCACCTTTGCTAAGGGCTTATGGAGGGTCAGGTAGCTGCAGCACCACCTCAGATGGAACCTCAGACAGCCTACCTGGGCCTCCCCTTCCCCTCCAGGGGCATTTTTTTTTTTACGTGACCCCACCCTCTCTCCCCACTCCCATCTTCCGTCTCTGTTCTTCCCCCACTCCCCAAACCCTGTATCCCTAGCAGCAGAGTCATCTCTTGGGTTACCTTGACACCTGCTGACCCCATAGCATATGGCACCTGCTACCTCTCTGTTCTCATCCCCCCTACTCTCTCCACTCCACCCACACTGACTGCTGTGCTATGTCTCAAACACCCTTCTGGCCTCAGGGCCTTTGCACCTGCTGCTTCCTTCTGCCCAGATGCTCTTCCTCCAGATCCTGGCATGGCTTGCTCCCTCAGTTCCTTTAGGACTTTGCTTGAATGTTACCTTCACTGGGAGGCCTTTCCTGGCCTCCTGGGAACTTCCTCTTCCTTCCCATTCCTCATTTGTCTCCATAGCACTTATCATGGGTGTCTACAGATTTTATTTATTGTAGCTTAGTGTCCAGCTACAGGGATTGTTTTCTGTTTTGCTCACTGCTGTGTCCCAGTGTCTGGGGCAGAGCAGGGCACTCCGTAGATGCTCAAACATTGCATAGATGAATGAAACAAAGGTAGCGCCTCCCTAGAGGCCCTCAGGTGGCCGCCCTTGGTAACACTTGCTTTTATCCCTGACACCTGCTTGGGGTTCCTCCTGCAGATCCCCCGTGTTCCCCGTCCTTTTGCCGGGCCCAGAGGCAGCTGCTGGTGGCTGGTGCCCCAGGAGAAAGCCCCTGGCCAGAAGAGAGCCTGGCTGACTCTGGAGGGTGTGGGGAGGTGGGCAGCATGCCTGCTCCCTGGCCCCTGGGCCATCTGCTGACCAGGCCTCCCCTTGCCCTGCAGGCCAATGAATGCATGCGGATCAAGATCCTGGGCGACTGCTACTACTGCGTGTCAGGCTTGCCCGTGTCCCTGCCCAGCCACGCCCGCAACTGTGTGAAGATGGGGCTGGACATGTGTGAGGCCATTAAGTAGGTACCACGCACAAGCCTGGGACACTGGAGCCTGTTCCCACGGCGGGCCCCTTCTGCTCCCCAAGGCATGCTGGGGAATGCATTGTCCCCGCTTTGCATATGAGGAAACTGAGGCTCCAGGGGCGCAGGAGGCTTACCTGGACCACTCAGCAGTGTGTTTGCATCCCTCCCTCTGGGCCCACTGGGGCTCCGAGTTCCAGAGAGTCTCAGAAGCTCAGAGCTGAGGGCCATGAGGACGGGCAGCTGGGCTCCGTTTCTCCGGAGGCTGAGCCTTCGCAGCAGCAGGGGAGCTGACAGACGCAGGGTTGGACTCCAGGCCTCCGTCTGCTTCCTGTTCCCCCTGTGAAGTCCCTGGAGTTGGGGGACTAGCTCTTAGAGCTGCAGGGAGACCCCCAGCCTCCTGCGGCTCCTTGCCACCAACATCCCAGCTCCCCGCAAGGCTCTCTGGAGCCCCGAGCAGCCGTGGTCTGTGGCGGTCAAGCGGGTGACGGAGGGCCAGGCGGGCTTGGCCAAACGGCCCAGCATTCGGGGCAGAGCCGGGCGCGGCTGGGCTGCCGGGCAGCGCACAGCTTCCACGCAAACCCAGCTCCGGCTTGTCCTCCTGAAGTCTCACCAGAAGAAAACCCGGTCAGGGAGTCGGTCCAGGTCACAGGCTGGCTCTGCGTCACCGCCTGTGTGACCTCGGGCTGGTGCCACAGCCCTGGGGCTTACTTCCCTCCCTGGAGCACGTGGAGGTTGTGCGGGGCCCTCTGCTCCCACTGGCTTTGACCCCGGCAGGCTCGGTCCCTCCCTAGCCCGTTGGTGGACACGTGGCACCGGCTGCTGCCCAGGCCCTCACGCACTTATCAAAGGGACCCGGAGGCCTGCTCATGTTGGGGGTGCCTTGTGCCCCAGAGAACTCTGAAGTTGGGGCTCCTTGTACTAAGTGGTGCTGGCAACCCCCAGTACTCCCAGTTCCCAGAGATGGGGGTGTGTAAGGCCCCCCAGGGCTGGCCCCATGTTCCTTGTTTCTGCTGGGTTTGGGGTAGTGTCTGGATCCCTCTGCAGATTCCAGCTGGAGCTGCCAGGCAGGGGTAACACCCAGTGATAATATGTTAGGGCCTCCAGCAGGAGCCACAGTGACCAGTGACAGTTGGAATTCCTCCTCCTTTTAACAGCCTTTGAGCTTGGGGCGGCCACATCCATTTGCACACTCCTAGAGATGGGGGGCTCATCCCCTTGCAAGGAGGCAGCCCCCTCAGGCTGAGAACGTTCTCTTCTGTGAGCTGGGCCTGCTCTATTCCCATACGCTCCCCGCACCCTTGCTCTTCCCCCACCCCGTGCCACACCCCCTACCAGGGACCTTGAGCCTGTCCTAGGGTTCAGGCCCCTAGCAGCCCTGGCTGGGGTGGGCTGACGGGCCTCTGCCCCAGGCAGGTGCGGGAGGCCACAGGCGTGGACATCAGCATGCGTGTGGGCATACACTCGGGGAACGTGCTGTGCGGTGTCATCGGGCTGCGCAAGTGGCAGTATGATGTGTGGTCCCATGACGTGTCCCTGGCCAACAGGATGGAGGCAGCTGGAGTCCCTGGGTGAGGCTCAGCTGGATGGTGGTGGGGTCAGAGGTCCGGGGCTGACTCTGGGCTGCGGTGGTGGGGTATCAGCATGGGGTCAGACAGGGAATCAGCGACCTGAAGGTTGGGGGAGCCCGCCCGGGGTCCAGCCTGCTCAGTCCTGGCTGCTGTGCACCCCCGGGTGGGTGTCTGCCCTCGCTGGGCCCTGCTGCTGTCTGACTCTCGTCTCCCCCAGCCGGGTGCACATCACAGAGGCGACGCTGAACCACCTGGACAAGGCGTATGAGGTGGAGGACGGGCACGGGCAGCAGCGGGACCCCTACCTGAAGGAGATGAACATCCGCACCTACCTGGTCATCGACCCCCGGGTACGAGGCTCAGCTGCGGCAGGCTGGGGGGCGGCGCTGGGGCTGTGCTTGGGAGCAGGGCCCACGCCTGGGGCATGGCCCCCATGGAGGGAGAGGTGGGGTCCGCCCCGGGGTAGGAGGCCATGCCCCGTTACTAGGCATGTTCTAGGCCCCAAGGGACAACTTCTCTGGGCCTCAGTGTTCTGTTCTATGAAATGGGGATAACAACAGTGTCTACCTCAAGAGGAGAAAAAGCTAATCTGAGTGAAGCCCTCACCGTCAACTGGGTGCGTCATAAACATTCTAGAAATAATAGTCACTGTTTATTTTCCATGAGGTTGTCACTAATCGCCCAGATTTTCAAAAGACACGTTTTAAAAACACGCTTTGGGTGGGAGTCAGGGAAGCAAGGAATGGCCATGGGGCCAATAGGCAGGAGCCCCTGTGTGTCCTGGGCTCTGACCCGCCGCGTGCGCCCGCCCGGCCGGTGCCTCTAGGTTCTCGGTGGGCCCCGCCTCCTTCAGGACCCCGTGGTGGGGAAGGCTGTGAGCCTGCTTCTGGGCCGTGGGCCCCGGGCCTGCCCGCAGCCTGCCTGCGCCGGCAGGGGCCTTTCGCTCCCGCCCGTGGGAGGCCAGCTCAGTCTGGGCCCTCGGTGAATCATCCTTGGGGCTTGCTCAAGAATGTCGGCAGTGGCTGGCTCCTTCCAGCTCCCTCTCACTCTGGCCTTTGCTGTCCTCGGGGCTGGCCCGCCTGCCAGTCTCTGGGGCAGCCGCGGGCCAGCCTGTGAGCCTCCCCCGACCCCCTCGGGCTTCATCCTGCCAATGTTCCCCGTGCGCCCTAGGTGGGTCAGCCATGCTGAGCGAGCATCGGGGGAACCCCTACTGGTACCTTGGGGCTGTTCCCAGCCCACTGTCGTGGAAACCACCCAGCCGCTCGCCCTGTCCCTGCAGCTCTGGGCCCCGCCCCCTCCTCTGA